CTCTGCGTAATAGCACAGACAGGACTGTTCAGCCAAGAGACAGCCGAGCGGAGCAGGACTTGGGGAAAGTCCAAGTAGCAGATGAGAGATCTTGGGTTAAGTACCATGGAGAGCAACTTTACCACCAAACCATAGACAAGTTACTCCCTCACAAGCCTGGAAGACCTTATTGGCATTTATAACTAAATTGAGCTGAATCAGGTTTTGTCAGCCCCGCGAGGTAGACCAGACCAGGAAATCAACTCCACACGAAGGCTAAAACTACTTTTATTGAGATTGTCTATAATAACAGAATCATGAAAATCTAATTATGCTGCACCTCCTCCTCCTCATACTCCAGTGCAGTGTTTCTCAACTCCATGCTGGCTGGGGAATTCTGGGAGTTGAAGTCCACATATCTTAAAGTTGCTAAGGCTGAGAAACCCTGCTCCAGTGAATTAGAGAGGCATCTGTCTAAGTTGCCTCTGAATGTTATCTCCTTGCTGTGGACTTAACAAAATGTTTCAGCCCCTTTTGCCTGTAAATGTTCCTGCACATCTCCATCAAGGTCATCTTCCTGACTCTCTATAGGTTCTTTAGCAGCTATCTATAACAAGCGATTCTTTTCAAAGCACAATTACTAGAATTTTTTTTAGCAAGATTTTTTGAGAAGAATGAGATGGGGTTACAAGAATTCTGACAACTAAACTATTTCCCATCTCAAACCACTATAGCACAAAATTGATTAGGGCAAAATCTTTTTTATTGTCTTTCTAACTGCCTTCCTGTGAGACAGTGAATAGAGGATTTCTTCACTGATAACAAAAGTATTTGTACTTGGTTTGCAGGTACACAACCATCTCCCAGATCATTCCCAGTCCAGCAAACAATTCCATACTACTCATTCTGGAAGTTCTCTCTCTCAGCTTTTATAGTTATTTGTTAAAGTCCAATTCTTTTTTCCTTTTTTCTGTAGGTGCTAATGTATCTTGTATGGGGAGTGCTTAGAGTAAAAGAGGCAGAATATTCCTCAGGACTCCCTCAGAAGTCTGAGGGAGAGTTGATTGCGAGCCATAAATTTGGTGCTGACACTTAGCAACTACATAGATAGATTTTTTCCAGGACGATCTGTCTCCAACCAGATCTTCTAATGGTGCACCCATCGCCACTATAAATGAATCCATCAACCTTGCTTCTGCTCATCATCATCTTCTCGTTCCTCGATGTATTGATTTGTTCTAGGGTCATTTGTTTGTTTTCTTGGCATTTTCAGGAATCTTCTCCATCGCCAGAGTTCAAAAGCATCAGTACTCTTTTCTGCTTCTTCATAGTCCAGTGTTTGTTTCCATAGAATGTCACAGGGAATGCCCAGTTTGCACAATTCTGAACTTTGTAGGTATAGACACATCGCAGCATCTGAATACCTTTTCCAAGGCCTTCATGGCTGCTCTACCAAGTACTAGGCTGTGGTGTATTTCTTGTATGCTTGTGCCTTTATTGAGGGCTCATCGTAAAAGACAGAAGCTATCTGCCCCTTCAATATCTTCATTGCCAATTCTAAGGCTAGTAGCTAGTCATTAGTTTGGTCTATGTCAGGCCTAGCCCAAGGAACTCCCAGAGACCATGTAAATTCAGTCCAGCAATGTTTAT